TAGGACACAAGAAAAGCATCTGGAGAGTCACCCAGCCGACACAGGATGCTAAATTACCGCCATAAAAAGGAGAAAAAATCAAGAAGAATCCAATTGTGTCAAGATTGAGCAAAAGTCAACAATATGAAACAAAGACATTTGATATAATAAAACAAAGAACTCCTTTGCTTCATAAAAATACTTCTTTTATATATAAAAGGACAAAAAAAATGTCACTAATGCATTAATGAGAACCAAGTGCACTGATGATCTCGTCAAATAGGATATCCACTTCCTTGATGAATAACATCTAGACACTAGTACAAAAATATGCCATACATACACACAGATACACATATACAAATGTGATGTACCATAATGACTGCAGCAGGTAAGGTGAATCTCTTGAACACACGCGATCCGATTGACCATATTATCCTATGGCAACAACATAAGCAACCAAAACCATTAGTTACTCAAAAATGAACAACATTTCACGTAATCACTATTGCCAGTGCATTAGAACATGATTTGAGTTATCATCCTGGCAATTGAATAGTAAGACTCGATAGATAAAATTTGGAATATTACTTCAATGGTTTCTGAAAATTCAATTTCCATACTGCAATGAAATTTTCATCACTCCTCATCACTAATTATGGATTTCCAAACATAGACTAAATTACTTTTTTAGTATAAATAAGATCACATTTCTCGTAACTGATAAACTACTAAGCCATTCAATGTAAATAAACTAAACAAGAAGATAAATAGTCGAAACTCAATTTCCATTTCCTATATTCTGCCGAAGCACCAGGGATCACAATACGACGTCGCGTAAAATAGCAAAATTCTTACCGGTTGCCTCGAATAAAAAGCTCGTGGTCGCTGCGGTCGGTTGGCGAGGAGCCCCATGCGTCGCGGACTTCCGAACTGTCGCGTTCACTGGCGATTTCGGGGTCGAATAAGAAGTAATCATACTTATCAGGGAGATTATCGAGCGGTTTCCCGTCGAGAGCTTCGGCAATTAAGCCAAATGGCTTGAACTCGCCTAGAACTGTAAGTTGCCTAACTCCGACGGACATGCTTTCCCGGCGATCGGCGCTTAAAGCGAGGATATTTTACTCAGTAGAGTAATTTAGCGAGGGAGGAGGAGAGTGAAGTGAGTTTTTTTTTTTTTTTTTTTTCTTTTGTTTCTTGGTTTCTCTCCCGCTCTTTTTCCCGTATTTTAAGCAAAGTAGAAGATAGAACCCTAGAGCTAACTTAATGCGTAGGCCCATTGGGCGAGTTACCTAAAATAATAATTCTGGGCTACTAATATGGTGGGTCCAATTTTATCAACTAAATAATTCAGGAATTAGTTGTTCATCTCCGAAAATTGGAAGGGGCGGAGTTAGTTTAAACCTCTATATTATCTGTATATTATATTAATTAGTTTTATCTAAATTAATCTTTAAAAAACTTGACTAAAATTTTTATGCAAATTTAAAAATATAATTTAAAAAACTTCAACTATTATAAAATTATATCTAATAAAAAAATAAATTTAAAAATAATAATATAATTTTTACTCGATAAAACTTCAAAACTTATTGTTTTTGCATTATAGAAACTCAACTTTAACTATTTTTACTTTCAGTCTCTTCTTGCCTCACGTTGTCTTTCCATCGTTCACTTTTCATAATTTATAAGTTGTTATAATAAAAAATAAATAAAGTAGAAAATCTGGAATAGAATAAAAAGTAGATAAAAATATATTATTTATTGAAATAAGAATTTATACACATTAAAGTTGCACGCATTCTTTGAGAATTTGAACCTGTGCATTTATAATAGAGAGGTTTATGAATATAATTACTTGAAAAATTTAAAAAATAATAATAAAATAGATAGAAAATAAAATAAAATGAATAGTTAATCAAATTTTTTGGCACGACGGTTCTTTTTTAGTTTTACTGATCGAATATGTTGTTACTTTTATTTTTCTTGTACATAAAAAAAAATAATTCACACCTAACTAACTAAAAATGACATTATTGTACTTAAATTCCCTTAATCCAACCTCTCTAACACTATTTTGCTGCTAGAATACGAATTGAAATAAAATTCATTCATTACATTGGAACTAGAGTTTGAATTTCTAAACCTTGTTTGACCAAAACTTGCTAAATATATTTGTTATTATAATAAATATAAATTATATAAATATAATACTTATACATATAATTATAATTACATTATTTGATATAATTGATATAAATTACTATACATTGTCAATAAATATATTTTAAATTTTCATCAACGTAAACAATATTTATGTTGACATAATAATGAACAGCGGTTTCAGAATGTCCATATTTGCTCAACTAATTCAACGAAATTAGTAACGATATATAGATAGTTTATACGCGTATACAGTTATATAAATATACCGTCAACATACAGAAAACAATATGGCAACTTCAGAACAAAACTTCAGTTCGGATTTATATATATAGGTACGTATCTACTCGTATATAATTACGTAATGTATGACGTCAACATATGGAAAATAATCTACAGCTTCATGGATAAAAGTTCTAATTAAAATGCCATCTTCTACCACCCTTGATCGAAGTCCCTCATTCTTCTCCTTTTTTTTCCCTCTTCTCCCACGAAAGTATGATGATACACACACTAGCGAATATATATCTCGCAAACGTTGTAGTAAACAAACACACACCACTGGATAGAGTACAACATATTTTAAGCCATCCATTATATTATAAAGATCACAAAGGCTACGTACATATATATAACGAAGCCGAACATATAAAGAACACAGTTGTTCGACTACATTAACGAAGCTACTGCTAGACCAAACTCCAACTGCCTCAGAAAACCTACATGCAAACGTGCACATAAAGTGCCCCTTAAAACTAACCCTTACAAGCCAACAAGGGAAGAAAAAGGACGACCGTCTTTATTACTAATTTTTATTAGACATTAGTAGTACATAGACTAATTTAGCTTGTGGTTCTGAACTTGGATTCGTCAATGGGGATTCCCTCCCTCTCCGCTCGCTCACCGCCGGACTCCTCCGTGCTGCTCAGCCCTCCTTTGCGTCCCATCTCCTGGTACCCTTCTGTTCCAAGCTGCTCTTTCCTCGTCTGCCCTCCCCTACTCCTCCCTATTTACCATTTCACGTTATCATCGTCAAACAAAGATAGGGTGTATATATATATATGTATATACGTTCATATAATATTTATGAATATATATGTATACCTTCAGCTAAGTGCTCCTGGGCTTCTAGGCTTTTTCCTCCAGTACCACCAGGCACCACCGTCTCTCCACGTCTAGCCCTCTCGTCCATCTCCTGCCTTGAAGCCATTTTCTCCTCTCTCTCTCTATTCGATCGCTAGGAAGCTAATAAGCACTTACGGGAAAGCTCACGACCAAAGAGCTATTACTTAAGAATCTCCCAAACGCTTGGATACCGAGCGACTCGTGTCACAAACAACGATCCTGTTGGTGGCAACGACCCGCCGGAGCTGGCAATTTATGGAGACGACCGAAACGTTAGGATATCAGGGTCGGAAGGACGCGTGTCGAGTTGACGTGGCGATTGGAGACGAAGAGGTTGAGTTACACGTAACTTACGGAGTCAAAACAGAATGACACGTGTCGTAGGAAAGACGTTATAGGTGTTGAACCAGGTGACACGTTTCCTGGAATTTTGTTCGTGAAATTTTGTCTTTCTTCAATCTTGTTTCTTATGTAAATTTATACATTAATTATTTTACTTTTCTCTTGTTTATCCTCAAATTAACGAGAGAGAATAAAATACAATAATAATGGATATACCCCCAGCCGCATTGTATTATTTTATAAATACACTAAATAATTTTTTAAAAAAATTATTAATTTTCGGAGGAAAAATTTACTGGATTCCGCATTAACCGAGACCCGGCCCGAATAAACAGCAAAAAGTTGAATGGTGCTTGGTCTGGCCCAACCAAACTTGCACTTTTATCAAAAGTAAACTTCTTGTTACTCTTAAAAATGTTACAATTTTAATTAAAAAATAAATTACTCTTGTCTTATAATATATTTTATTAAAATTTATTTCAATTTAATTATTAATATTATTGAATTTATAAATTCAAATAAAACATTAAAGGTTTTAAGTACTATAACACTGTGTCATGCACGATACCCAAGTATGTAATAATTTGTGAACTACAATATCTTTATTCAATTTTAAAAAATACGTTATTTTTATATAATGTATCAAATTTTTAGGATACAAAATGTAAATTAGATATGTATGTGTGTGTGTGTATAACTCAAGTATTGAAATAAAAGCCTTTAACCAATGCCCGCTTTTACCAAATAAATAGATGTGAGTCTTTTTGGGAGTTTTTAAAATTGACATTTCGAGGGACATTGGCCAAATTAGTTTTTCTTTCATTCGTCACGTGCATGAGATAATCAAGAATCGTAACGTTTAACAAAACCATATATATTAAAAACGTATTTGACATTTGAAGTGAGTGATGTATTTTATTATATTTTTCTAGAAAGTAATAGTTTGAATACCCTATAATATGTGCTCCTAGTTTAAAAAAACAAAACCATATACTAAAATTAAAAACGTTACCAGTCAATTTTGTTCCAGAAAAAATCATATCTCCATACTTTTAATAGTATAAAAAATTGAATTAGTAAACGAGCGATACCAACTACATATACTGCCGACTTTCCGTGACTTTGACCAAGTTGGTTTGCAAAATAATGCATACGTGTCCATAAATAATAATTTTTAAAGTAAGATTCATTAATAATAAATGAGTTCATATTTTAAGAAATATTTGGGATAATGTTGAATAGGTAATACAACGAACAACTACAAAATTATTTATTTATTTTTTAAAAAAAGAAAATGTAATTACTTGTTTTATCTTCTTGATTATAATTAACGACAGCTAATTAGTTAGTAATAAAAATATTAGTTATAAAGACCGTTGATATGCATATGTATATATGTACAGGCACAGATGAAAACTCCAAACAGAAAACGTCAACAAAATCATGCCAAGTAAAACTAAAATGTTAATTAATAATGTCACGATTACTTTTTTTTTTATGTGGACAAAATCAGAGCGCACCCATTAAAAACAGCAGGCAAACTACTTGCATATGCTAATAGCCGCTAATTCGCTCGCCGGTGGGTTTTGAAATTCCAGAAAGTGGCACGTCGAATATTCTTCACTTATTCCAGAAGCTTTTGACTATTTATGTTATTCAAATTTTTAATTTAATTACAGAATAAGTTTTAGAAGATACAAAATACGAATGAGCTAGTTTATAAGTATGATGTTAAGATTTTAAATGCGCAAATTCTCTTTCTTTTAGAGGAAAAATCTTATAACAAATTGTTGTGTACGGTTTTGGAATTATGCCTAAAAATTTACCAATCGACGTGGACCAATAAAAATCTAACACGTATGTTCAATATGTTGTATTAATTTTTAAGGTGACGGCCCCGATCCCCGTCCAAACAGGATACAGATTAACGTGTTTGACCGTTGAAACATTTTAGTCGTAAAAACACACCGCCAAGCATTCATTTCCCTTCCCCTGTAAGCATGCTCCCCGTAATTTTGATTCCCTAAAAAAAGACAAATAACTTCCATTTATTCGTCCAATCATCAAAAAATACCCCTCCCCGAAGCTGATGCACACTCTCAGTTACAGCGCGTGTACAACAACCGGTCTGGAGTCCACTTAGACCCCGTCAACTGTCGCCGATCCAGTTAAGCGAGTATCTCGCAGTCCGCTAAACGAGCGTGAAAATCCCTTTAATTTAGCATTTAAAAAAAGCGTAGTCAATCACAAGTCAAGTCCTCTGCCACGAGACAAAGCGGCGTCATTTTTTATTACTTTAATTTATGTTTTTTGTTTTTTTTAACGGGAGGGAAACAGAGTACTGCATATATAAACCAGAGGGGCCTCCGTTTCTCCCTTCAATTGGTTCTGTCAATAAGAAGGCTAACAGAAAACCAGGAAGGGAATTGACAAGAAAGAGAAAGAAAAGAAAAGAAAAAAGGAAAGAAAGAAGCAAGATGCCGTGTGCGATGGTGGTACCAAACTCCCCGATATTCTCGTCAACTTCGAGAATTCCTCCGATGTTTTGCAAATCTTCGTCGTCTTCCCCGTGCTCGTCTCCCAGGTCACCGTTGCCGGCGTCTTCTTCCTCATCTCCGAAATCGCCGCTGTCGCTACGTGCACAGAGACAGGGAGTCGGATCGGGTATTGCGTCCGGACTTGGCTGGGGCTCCACTGCAGTTAAGAGGAAGAGACCGGCGCGGATAGATATACCGGTGCAGACGTGGAGTCTCGCTGTGGAGACGCCGAGAGGGGAGAAGACGGTGGAGGTAGGGGAGGAGGATGGAGATGGATACTCTGTGTATTGCAAGAGAGGAAGAAGAGGTCCGATGGAAGATCGCTTCTGTGCCGTGGTTGATGGTGCGGGAGATGATAAGCAGGTAAATTCGTCATAACTGATTTTTTAATTTGTGTATTCTTTTCCATCTTTATATGATTCGTTTTATGATTTGATAAATTGCTCTGAAACCATTGTCGTAAGAATAAGTATGTCTTTCAATTGGTAATTGGATGTTAAAATGAGTGTTTCTATTGTATTATTACAGGCTTTTTTTGGTGTTTTTGATGGGCATGGAGGGCCAAAGGCTGCTGAATTTGCTGCAAAGAATTTAGATAAGAACATAAGGGCTGGATTATTGAGCAGCAGATGTGAAGAAGGAATAGAAAGTGCTATTAAGAAAGGGTACCTTACTACAGATATAGAATTTCTAAAGGAAGATGTATCAGGGGGTACGTGTTCTGTCACCGCATTGATTCAGAAAGGTGATCTTGTTGTATCAAATGTTGGTGATTGCCGTGCTGTAATGAGCCGGGGAGGAGTTGCAGAGGCTCTTACCTCCGATCACAAGCCTTCAAGGAAAGATGAACGGGACAGGATTGAAGCTCTGGTAAATCCCTTGTTCATTCAATTCAATTCTTGAGAATAAAAACAAGTTGGTGATTGATATCTAATATATATATGTATATATTGTTTTGTTATTCAGGGCGGCTATGTGGATTGCCGCAATGGGGTATGGAGAATACAGGGGACTCTCGCTGTGTCGAGGGGAATTGGAGACGGGCATCTCAAGACATGGGTAATTGCAGAGCCAGACACAAAAATCTTAAGAATTGAGTCTGAATGCGAGTTCTTAATCCTAGCATCTGATGGTCTTTGGGATAAGGTAAATTTTTTACACTAATCCATATTTGTTTGTCTCATAAATCCGGATCCTGAATATAATGTAATATAAGGTAGCTGTTCCTCTTATTCCAGGTAACTAATCAGGAAGCCGTAAATCTTGTTCGTCCTTTATGCACAAATGCTGCTAAGCCTGAACCTCATCTGGCCTGTAAAAAGCTTGTTGACTTATCTTCAAGAAGAGGTAGCACAGATGATATAAGTGTGATGATAATCCTATTAGGTTGTTTCGTTTCGTAATTTATTATAGAAAATCTGGATGACCGCCAGTAAATTTTGCTTCAATTTTGGATGGAAGGCACCGATCTGTAAAGCAGACACCTCTCCTCTACTAGATAAAGAAGATAAGATAGTGGTTTTAAGAGTGGAGAAGATGGTTTTGATACTGACAATAGATTATATTTGTAAATCTTCTAGGTTGAGGCTCATGGTTTAATGAATCGTGATCATAATGCTTGTGGAAATTATAGACGGACTAAGGTTACCTATATAGCATCATGTTTTACATTAATTTTTAATTTTTTTTGTATATTTTGTTAATATGAATACGTATTATACTTCGATAATTATGCGTGACATATAAATACTTGTTAGAAGATAAACTCGTATCATAACACATAGAAATACACATTTTGATTATAGTTACATAACTACTCCGACAAATGTTTTGTGGGTAACAGTAATTAGTAATCACAAAATAAAAAATTAGTATAAATTTATACTATAACATAGTATTTTAAGACTTATCATCAAATATGTTTTCTTAAAATCTATGATCATCTGAGATATGCTCCTTTTTCTTCTGGTAGAAAAAAGTTCCTCCTTTTAATCACTGATTTTAGGATGAAACAGCATCAATAATCTCCAAGGTGATTCTCATCTTACTGAAAGACAGATTTGCACAGGCATCAAATCCAGGTATTGTTTGTTAGTCCGTGATATATGAGCCTTTTTCGCATATGAACTAGGGCTCTAGATAAAAAACAATTAGTGCCCGCATATTCCTAAAAAGCTAAGTTAAAAAACACTGTTGATGTTCATAAAGACAGTAAACTGGAAATTTCTTTTGACATCCTTATTTTGGATTTACATGGAAATAGCTAGAGCAGCCATAAAATTCCCTCTACCTAATATATAAATAATTTCACAACCCTGAGATGAGGAAATATATATATATATATATATATATCTCTATAAATAAGTAAACAACAACAACAGTTAGATATATTGCAGGCTTACCTCATAAATTGTATAGCCACTTTTGGAGGTCTGGTTGTTTTACTCTTTATCACAGTTGCTCCATCCCATTGTGTTTGCTAACCACGGCCAATGAAGGAAACTTCATAATACATATATATATATATATATATATATATATATGCATATATATAAACATCCAATGAAAGCAACCTGATCTTCTCAAGCAAAACTTCTTTGCTTTACCCAACATTTGATTAAGACATACCTGTGGTCACTAACTGTTATGTGAAGACATTGGACCTTTTTCTTAAAGCCAATGCATGTTTGGACCAATTAAATAATGGGTTTTTATCCCTAGTGATGTTGCCAAAGTTTAGCGGGAACAGAGGCAATATGGAGTTAGATTATAGTTTTTCTATAAAAATACATTTAACATAATCAAGAACAATTGGAAAATTGAATAGTTCTCCAAGGACAATTGAGGAGTGGTTTTTACATTTTCATGTTTTATCTAACTCCAACTAGTAAAAATAATACAACATAATAGGATAATAGGATGACCCCTGTTATATATTGATGTTTCTTTTTTTAAAAAAAGAAAAAGAAAAAAATAGAGATCCTTGTTATATTTTGAAATAAATTGACTCTTTTAATAAATAATTAATTTTCTTAAGTTTAAATAAAGCATCACGTTATATGAATTACTAAATTGTTGATAATTAAATTGTTATTGGTTAACTTTAATAGTAATTATATTATATTAATAAGACTTACAACTTAGTTTAATAGTTGATATGTTTATTTATTTATAATAATCAATTCTAACATCAGTATTAAAAATTTTATTCGAAAACTCAACATTTAGATTAAGGATGTCAACAAGACATATTTGTGGCGAGTTTTGTCAAATCCGAACTCGCTTTGACTACGTAACACATCAATCCGAAACCATCTCGAACCCGAAGTTGGTTTAATAAAAGATGTCTTTTTTATACCCTGTGAGTTTCCAATAAAACCCACCTTACACTACTTATGATTTTCTCCAAACTAAATTCTCAAAAAAATTTAATTTAACCTCGTTATTGTACAATATAGAATTACACTCAAAATTCAAAATACCATCGAATGCATGAAAATTGTTTGTATCTACATAAAAAGAGCCCATTTTGAATAAAATTAATACAAATGAATTATCACATGTGCAAATATTGAATTTAGTAATAAATTTTACCTGATTTGTACTCTCTCAACAAAGTCGAGAAATTGTAAAACTAAAAAATAGAACATGTAACTATTTATGGTGAAGCTGTAAAATTGATGATGCTGAGTGATTTATCAGTTGTCATGAATTCACGGTGTTACCAACTCACCGTGATAGATATGCATTGAGTTATCAAATAAATATGACTGAAGATAAAAATACTAAGTGTGAAGACGAAGATGAATGAAGGAGGTGTTGTGGAGGACACTCAAATTTAGTTTTAGTTGTTTTTTTTCAAAAGATTTTCCTTTTTCTCAATCTTTATATACTTTTATTTTTTATATAATTTTTTATTTTTTAAATTTAAACATATAAATATATTATTTTATAACATACATACACTAGCATTTCAAGTTTTGATGAATTTTTAATACTTAAATATGAACTTGCCTCATCCTAGCTAGCTAGTTTTTAAAAATCTAACATGATACAGTTTGGTTCAACTTATATTAGGTTAAAACCCATGACGATTTTCAATATGATGGATAATTTTGGTTGGATTACAACTTATTTTTTCATAATAATTCAAATATCTATATTAAATAAGAAGGATATGATGACCCATTATTTTCTTTTACTTATTATTTAAATCACATATTTTATAAATGAATCATTAATCATTAATATTTTTTTTTCTTTTCTTAATAAAATTTTCATCTACTTATTTCTCCTCCTCCACTTGTCTTTTTTATGCTATTCTCTTATTTGATTTAAAGATTTTACTTATACGTTCAATAAACAAAATTTACGCATGTTATGTCTAATAGCTGATCATATAAAATAATATTAAATAAATTCACTAAGATTACTATATTTTAATTGAACTTAACTCATTAAAATATATATATGTTTTAATATTGACGGAATATTTTATTTTATACATTAAACTAATTAAAAATAATATATATTAAAATGTATCAATAACGAAAAGCATGATATAGTACAATATAATGCAATATGTGTTGTATGTTTTAGATTTAATAAATTATGAACTAGATAATGTTAACATTTATTTTAAATATCACTATAATTTAAATTAAAAAATAAAATAAAATGTTGAATGCATATAATCTTAGATTATTTATTATATAAAGATCTATTAGTTTTAGTAAATTTTCTCTACAGCTTTTAATATCATGGATTTTATTTTGCTTTTAATTTTTTATATTAGGTTTTACTGTTTACTTTTTTTTTTTGTTCATAAAATATAATAAAACATAGTATATTAAGTACTTGTTAAAATAGGAAAAAAACTAATGATACCATAATTTTTGGCTTGAGTTTGAGTGAAGTAGCAAGTTAGACTATTGGTTGGACCTTCCTAATAAGTGGTGGATTAGCATACAACATCAAATTATTTCAGTAAATTTTATAATTATTTAAAATGATATAATCTAATTTACAAATTGAATATCTAATAGATATGCTGTAATTTTTAATTAAAATATATTACGAATTAATTTTTCTTAATAAACATTAGAATAATTATGGTATAAAAATATAACTATTAATACTCTAAACATGTAGAGATTTTATAATTGTTACTAAGTTTTAAATATATGATATTTATTTAAAAAACTACATATCATGTATGTTTTAATATATAAATGTCATTAGCTAATTATGGTGTTTGGAAATTTTTATGATATTAATTAATAAATTGTATCTTCATTAGTTAATTAATAAATGTCCACAACCACAAATAAATAAGTGAATTTAGTAAAAACTTTAAAATAATAATATATAAAATTTAAAATAATTTGAAAAAATAGTCATATATTAAGCTAAATCAAAAGTTTTAACCTATGTTATGATAACTTGGTGTTGGCATGTTTAATATTGTTTTTTTTACCATGTGAATAAACATATTTAATATTGTTAAAACTTAATAAACCAAGCATAATTGATCGTTATTATCTAAAAAAACTAAATAATAAAAGGTTATGATTCTTGAACATTAATTAAAAAAAAACATAAAACGGGTCGAATCATTACCGGACCCGGCGCTTATAAAACCGAAGCCAGCAATTGCCCAGGCACATTTTTAACACGTCCTTTCCCTTTTGCGGGGATTTTTTTTGTTCTTATATTTTTCATTTCTGTCTTCGAAGTGGTGCCTGAATTAGATCTCTCTCTGCTCTTCATTGCAAAAATTTCCCATCTCTCTTTCTTCCTCTCTCTTGCTCGGAGCAACTTCAAGGGTCTTATCGCTGCTTCAGATCTCGCAGCGATTTGAATCCACTTCATTTTTATCTTCATCATCTTTAATCTCCTTTTGGTGTTTTGACTCTCAATTGAAGATTCAATCTCGGCCGTAGATCTGGTTCTGCATCTGGTTCTTGATTCTGAGCCGTCGATCTGAGAGACACCATGGCGGCCGCGAACGCTCCGATCACCATGAAGGAGGTCTTAACTGTAAGTTGCCCCTCACTCGCCTTTTCCATTTTCGCTTTTGCTTTTGGCCTGATTCATCGGATACTTGTAGTAATCTAGCTTAACTTTTTGCATTAGTTATGTTCTGAACTCAATCACTCAGCTGGTTGATCATTTTGTTGAGTTAGCAAATTTTAGAGTTTCAATTTCGTTTTACAGTCACGCAGTCTGATATAACTTCGCTTGATTCGCCGTATCAAGAGTTTCTGTAATGATTAGCTGGTGTTATGCTTTGTACAGATCTGATGAGGCCATTTTCTGTTCAGATCTGTGTATTTTATAATTTTGCTATGTGCAAATGTTGTGTTGTATATGTACATGCTTCAAAATAGTTAAAGACGCATAGTGATGCAAGAATGTTGAGGAATTGAGTGTTGAAATTGTGTGATCTGATATGTGGTTGCAGCTACCGAGCATTGGGATTAGTCCGCAATTCATCACATTTACAAATGTTACGATGGAGTCTGATAAGTATATATGTGTAAGAGAAACAGCTCCGCAGAACAGTGTTGTCATTATTGACATGAATATGCCAATGCAACCATTGAGGAGACCTATTACAGCAGATTCAGCTTTGATGAATCCAAACTCTAGAATCCTTGCCTTGAAAGGTAGGATATGTGGTATAGTTTATTTGGCGTTTCTGTTAGATTGCATGGAATATTTAGAGGTTTGTATTGTTATAATCAAGAATGGTCATATTTACAATAATGGCTTTCATCTTATAGGTGATGGATTTATCTTGCTTTTATTTGTTAGACGTACATTGAGATGCATCTGAATCCATGTTGCTTCAACTCCTTTATGGAATTGCTACAAACACTTAAGCTTGGCAAGATGTCATATAAAGCCCCAAGAGTATATATCATGTAATGTTTATTATGTTTGTGTTCACCTGACGGTGAGAATTCCTTTCTACGTTTTTCTTATCATAACGATTATCCAGATTTAGAATCTTCGCATTGCATAAATCGGTGTTAACCTTAAATGCTTGTAAAGAATAATCCACCAATGCTGGAAATTTAAATTTCCACAGTAGTGAATGAGTTAAATTCATAAAGAAACAATATGGTCTACTCAAGTGATATGGAAAGACTAAAACACTGTGCTGTAATTGAAGTGATATGGTAAAATATATAAATGCGGCAATAGATGACATAATATGTGTCTGTCGTCATAGACTTCCACCCTCTAAAGCTTAAACTATGTCCAAAAAGATATATAAACATATTATATCTTTAAACAAGGTCAATCTAGAATGATCTCACCTTTGTTCTTATGTTGGGGAGATGAATGGGGGATTTGTTTGCATATTCCAATTAGATCTCTATATTCAGCAAAGGTCCTTTGTCACTTGTTTTTTTTTTTTGCGGGGGGGAGGTTGAGCTAAGCTCTCTTGTCGATCAGGATCCTAGTTGGTATCACATAATTGTTTTACGGTAAGGATATTCTGATATTGGTATGAAATTTGCATAAAAGCATTTGCTGTATAAAAAAATTCAATAGGAATGTTGTCATAGAAAGTACTTGTAATCTATAATGCATTTATCTTTATTTTTGAGATTTTTATCTTAAGGTTTTGAGGATTTGTCCTAGCAGTCTGCCATGAAATGTAAATTTATTGTCCTTGATGAACCACTAAGTCAGAATGTCCAGCTCTTTTACTTAATTCAGCGGCAGAACTTGCTTTGTTTTTGTTTCAGAGAAGGCAGGAAAAGTGGCTTTCTATGTTTCTTTAGGGAATTCTTGATACTTGAAATAGCTAGTTAATATTTTGCAAGGAAAATTATTTTGTTTAATTTCATCCCAAATCTTATATTATTCAGTAATTATGTTGCGATTATTTTCATTTCTCATGGTTTTAGTACTCTGTTTGTTTGTATGTGCTCATGTTCCTTATCATTCTTTTGTAGCTCAACTCCCAGGGACCACACAGGATCATTTACAGATATTCAACATTGAGATGAAGGCAAAAATGAAATCACATCAGATGCTTGAGCAGGTAATGATCTGTC